TAGTAGTAGTAGTAGTAGTAGTAGTAGTAGTAGTGGTAGTAGTAGTAGTAGTAGTAGTAGCAGTAGTCGTAGTAGTAGTAGTAGTAGTAGTAGTCGCAGTCGTAGTCGTAGTCGCAGTCGTAGTCGTAGTCGTAGTCGTAGTCGTAGTCGTAGTCGGAGTAGTAGTGGGAGTACGAGTACGAGTACGAATACTAGTAGCAGTAGTAGTAGTAATAGTAGTAGTAGTAGCAGCAGCAGCAGTAGTTATAGTAGTAGTAGTAGTAGTAGTAGTAGTAGTAGTAGTAGTAGTAGTAGTAGTAGTAGTAGTAGTAGTAGTAGTAGTAGTAGTAGTAGTAGTAGTGGTGCAAGTAGTACGGGTAGCCCCCAGATATTCATTGGGCCCCCCTTCTTTGGACATGTGAGTTGATCATCCCCGGGCAATGCAGGTTCGGTCAGGGAAGAGAGCCGGCAAGGCCGAATTCGTATGCTGAGTAGCAAGGGTTCCCAAGGCTTCCGATCGTTTCCCTCGGGAACCCCATGGATGTCCCAGGGGGCCCCATAGGCGCCCCATCGATTATTATCTTTACTGGCCTTTGGGGAGGTCAGAGGTTGTCGGGCGTGTTCGTCGGTTCCTGGTGGCCCTCCCAGCTTCGGGATGTCTTCCAGCACCTGCGCCTCGCCGAGAGCGCCCGCCACGAAGGAAAGGAGAGGTCCTGATGGAAGAGGGGTCCTGGAGGTCTTTCGCCGTTTGGGGGAGGCCCTCCCAGGGCCCCCGCGACCGTCACATAACAACTCAGGACGGAGAGCCGGTCCCAGGGAAGGCCCCCGAGGGCCAGGATCCGCTTCCGCCAGGAACCGCGTCTCCCTGGATGAAGGCCCGGCGGAAAGAGCCGCCGCGGGATCGGCATTCGCGCCTCGCGGCCCCGAAGCCCGAGAGGGTCGTTCTTCTTCGGGGGGCGGCGCGGGGGCGCGAGGACAGGCGATCGAGGCACGGGGCGCGTTGGCTCAAGGTCTTGCCGGGTTCGTTCGGCTGCGCAGGGGAAAAAGCAGGTCCTGAATGGGGGTGAAGGGAGCCTCCAGGAGGGAGGTCAGCGCCCTGCTTGGGAGGTCTAGGATCGCCTGGTGGCTCTAGCCGCGAGCGAGCGCCGAGCCAGGGTCCACTCCTTGATCCCCGATCCCCCCCCATCCCGCTCACAGGAGTCATTCCGGACTGGTCGCCGCGCTTCCAGAGAGCCCGATCCGGTGCCCCGATCCAGTGCCGACCGCTGTTGCCGAGCTCCGGACCGCAGGCGAGTGCCGCTCTGTTCGTTGGGGGGTCGGCGCGGCCGCGCGGGGGGGGCAGGTCCCTCCTCATGCTGTCCAACTGCGTGTCCGCGCTCGCACAGCAGTCCGTCTCCAACGAGGACCCTCGGGGCCTCCTAGGGTCGCCTACGGCCCGGCTCGGTGCGATTCGATTTGCCAGCTGGGAACATGATTCCGATTCGATTCGATTCGGTTCGACACGGATTTCGCGACTCGATCCAGCTCAGGCTTGCCTCTTTCTTCTCTTGTCGGGGGAGGGCTGGTCGAGACAACCGCGGCCTCCTGGAGGTCTCTCGTCACCACGGCTGGATCTGTCTCAAGAGTCGGGTCAGGATGGACCCCCGGGAGGGGTTTGGGAACCAGCTTCGAGCAGAGAGGTGGGCCAGGCGAGAGTGCCGCCCTCCTCCAATCTCGGCGGCGCGCACGAGGGGCTGGCGCGGACCTTGTGAGAAGGCACGTGGCTTTTCAGATATATCGGACAAGAGGCTCCCAAGGAGGCGTGGCTTCTCAGATGTCTCCGCTCCCTTCTGAGGAGCCCCATGCAGAAGACTTCCCCCCCACGCGCCACCCACCGTGCGCGCCGATATCTTCTCCTCCTCCTCCTCCTCCTCCTCCTCCTCCTCCTCCTCCTCCTCCTCCTCCTCCTCTTCCTTCGAGGAGGGGCATGGGGGGACCAGCGAAGAGGACGTGCTGCACGGATGCACGAGCGTGCGCGTTGCTGTTGCCAGCCCGCGGAGTGGGGCAGAGCACCGCTTGCTCCTGGCCTGCCCGTTCGCTGCGGACCGAGGCGGCGCCGGGAGCGCCAGCTGGGAATCACAGCTCGGGGACAGAGAGGTGGGTAGGTAGGTCGGTAGGACAGGGGCCCGAAGCCAGGTTCGGGGCATGCTCTGCGTCTTTGGCGCAGAGGCGCTCCCCGAGGGCCCGTACCAAAAGTTCCCAGCGCGTCAGCTCGGGGATCACGGCGGGGGGCAGGGGCCCCCACCCCGCCGAGGACAGAGAGACGGACGATGGGGGCACCGTCCCCGCAGGGTCCAGGTCGGCCCGATCGGTCCGCTTCGATGTCGATTCCGGCGGGCCCGACCCGAGTCGATTCCGATGTTCAGGTGCGGCCTGATGCTCGCACGGCGTTGGTGTGCACCTCATCAGCGCGGCCGATCCGATCCGATAGGAGGCTGGGCGGGCCTGGCTGCTGTGGTTCTGGGTCTTTCTCGTTCTGGGGGTCTTTTTCGCAGCCTGGGTCCTCGCATTCGTCCTGCTGCTCGTACTCTGGATCATTTCTTCTCGCGCCCTGGGTCCTGCTTCGCGTCCTGCTGCTCGTCCGTTGAACTCTTGTCGTGCTCGGAGTCCCCGAACTCGTCCTGCTCCTCGTGCTCTGAATCCCCGTGCTCGTCCTGCTGTTTGTACTCTGGGTCACTCTCGCGCTCACGTCCTGCTGCTCGTACTCTGGGTCCGTCTCGCACTCTGGGTGCTTCTCGCAGTCTGGGTCCTTCTCGCGCTCGTCCTGCTGCTCGCACTCTGGGTCCTTCTTATCGTCTCGCTGCTCGTGCTCTGGGTCCCTCTCGTACTCGGGATCCCCGTGCTCGTCCTGCTGCTCGTGCGCTGGGACCTTCCCGTGCTCGTCCTGCTGCTCGTGCTTCGGGTCCTTCTCGTGCCCGTCCTGCCTCTCGTACTCCGAGGCCTTCTCGCACCTGGCCTCGGCGACGTCGCCCGAAGGGCAAGGCAGGCGGGGCCGCCGAGGGGATCCTCAGCGGGGCTGCCCATCTTGTCGTGTTCTGGGCCAGAGCCCGGGTCTACTCGCTGGGACGGAGCGCCGGAAGGGGCAAGGCCCCGTGGCCCTCCTCGGCAACAGCCACTCGTGGCGATCTGTGTCCTGGTTGTTCGTGGTTTTCTTCAAGGGCAGAAGAAACGCCCCTACCCTGGTTTACGAGGCGCTGTGTGCTGAAACTCCTGTGGGCTGACAGGGTAAACCCTGCGTGATGTGCCGCGTCCTGGCGGCTCTAGGCTTCGGGGGTTCCCAGGAGGTTTCCAGACCACGCACTTGCAACCCAGGGTAGGGTCGTTTGTTCATCCTTCAGTCTCTGGCGCTGGAATCTGATCCTGATCCGCCTGTGGCAGCTGATCCTGATCCGCCAGCGGTCGCTGAGCCTCGGCTGGTTCTTCGCGACCTCGTAACCAGCAGGTGCGGCTCGCGAATCTCGCGGCGCCTGGCAAGGAAAGCCTCGCGCGCCAGCGCGGCTATCGAGAGGGCGTCGGGCTGCTCCATGTCGTCCTCTTCCTTCAGCCCGCACTTCTCGCTGTCCTCCTCGTCGTCTGCCTTCTCAGGCTCTTCCTCGTTGGCCTCCTTGGCCTTGTCCTGGGACGACACCAGCTGCAAGTAGCCGTTTTCCATCTCTTCCACGCAGGTTTCCAGTTTTCTATCCTGGTGTTCCCTTCAGCTCTTCTGGCAGCTGGAGGCCTTCTGCGGGTCGTCGTAGCTATCCTTGACGTCGTTGTTGTTGGCCTCCGTCTCGTAGCTGTCGTTGTCACAAGCGCCTGACGCGGCGCCGTCATCTGACCGCACATTTGAGGGAGGGGGGACCAGTCGGAGCCAGTCACGCCCTTTCTCGCATGAGATGTAGACGTCCTGCAGGTTGTCGTAGCGCTGGCGGTCGTAGCCGTACTGGTGGCCGTCGAAGTTCCGGTGGTGTTCTGGTGGCCGTCGTAGCTGTCCTCGAAGCCGTCCTTGAGGCTGTCGTAGCCCAGGAGGCCGCTGTCGGGGACCTTGATGGCTATGTACTTGCAGGCCGCCGCCTGTTAGGCAGCTCCTCGCATCTTTGAGCGAGCGCTGTCGCAGCGATGCGCCTGAAGTCCTCGTAGCTCATCGCACAGCTCCTGCCGGCAGCGCATCCCGCGCGGCGCAGTGCCGCGCGCACCGGTCTCGGCCGGCATGCCGTGGAGACTTGCCTGCCGGAAGCGTTCTCGCGGTATTCCAACTCGTAGGTTCTGTCGACTGTTGGCGCCCGCGGCCTCGTGGCCACCATCGCGCGGCGGCGGGCGTGCGGGCTGAGGCCAGCCCTCCCCATGGGGACGAGCGCGCCTCCTCCTCCTCCTCCTCCTCCTCCTCCTCCTCCTCCTCCTCCTCCTCCTCCTCCTCCTCCTCCTCCTCCTCCCTCCTCCGCCTCCTCCTCGTCCTTCTCCTCCTCTTCTCGGCCTGCCGAGGCCTCCTCGAGCTCCTCCTCTACTCCGAGCATGGCCTCCAGCTCCTTCAGGAACTCCAAGCTCACGAAGGCGCCGCCGAGCCGCCGGCGCTCTCTCCCGACCGAGAAGAATTGGAAGATGGGAAACGCGTGCCGAACGCGCAGCACCGCGCCGTCGGAGGAGGGGGGGGCGAGGAGCAGGAGGGAATCGAGAGATTCCCAACCCTCCATGCCTGAGATCTGGGCGTTGCAGTTGTTTCACACTGGGCGTTTTCGCCCAGCTTCGGATCGCCCCCGCGACTCACGCCTGAACCCCCCAACCCCCCCTGGCTGGATGTCTTTTCTGCCTTCGCGGGAGGTCCACCTTCGCGGCGACCCGTGAAACCAGGGACCCGCAGCGGCGCATGGATTTTTGTTTTTTTCCGCGCGCGTATTGCCACTGGAACCCTTGAGTCCCTCTGGCCAGAATGCACCTAGTACTTGAGTACATCTAGTACCATCATGTGCTAGCGCGCAGCTGCTCCTAGGGTCCACCTGGTCTTGCAGTACAACTAGTGCTATCGAATTGCGATTCAGGCAATTAAGGAATCAGTATAGATCTGTGACTTCGGAATAAGGGAACACCACAGGATGGTGACTTGGGAGTAGGGAAGCATAATATACTCGCGATTAAGAAATAAGGAGACAGTATAACATGCCGATGTCGGAAATAAGACGCACAGTGGCGTGCAACTAGTACCAGTATAGTTCCCTAGTGCAACTACCATTCGAGTTATGCTGCATTGCATATCCAATCTGGGCTCTCGCGCTTTTCCTCCTCTGGTTGCGATGGAGGGTGGCGGGACCCCGCGCGCCAGCGCCCCCGCCCCGCGGCTGAGAGCTCATTCCTCGTCCAGAATTTACGGCAAGAGCAAACCCCCGTGCACAAACCCCTCGCCAAGGACATCGTCTTCCGCGGAAACCGGACCCCTTGGGTTCTTCGGCACGCCCCCGGAACGCTTTCTTTCTGCATGGCCCCCCAATGGGTCCTACGTTGGAGTCGCTTTGGTGATAGCTTCGGGCCCGGGGACGGTTACAGATCGATCCAGCTCGGAACATGCTGCAGAAATATTGGGTCTAGGGCTCCGATGCCGATTTTCCGTTGTGCTTCTCAAGTTTTCACAACGTCGGATCTCATGGTATGGGTGGGTGGATTTTCTAGGGTCACCGTGGAGGTCACCGGTCCCAAGAGCACTCCAGAGAGGACCCCCCCGAGAAAAGAAAGAACGTCATAAGCATGATTATTCTGAGGTCCGCGCGGATTTCTCGGATCCGCGATGGGGCTCCCTTAGTGGCGCCGCCGGCGCCGCCCCTGGCGCTCTCTCGAGCGGAGCCCAGTACCGATCCAGGAAGTTCGCGCGGAGCTCGGCAAATGTATGTCAGTGCCGTTCTTGCTTCACCTAAGCAGGGCCCCCGACGGCAGACCAGCCACGTCCAGGGGAGTTGTGGTCCTTCCCCCCTGGGGGACCCACCGGTTTCGACACACTTCTCGAGGGATCGTCGGCATGATGAGCTCCCCCAGGGTGGTCAGGAGCACAGCTGTACCAGGCATGGCTTGTCGGCACGGGTGAGCCAGCTCGTCGCCTGGGGATTCCCCTCCGCTCGTCGCGGGAGGGCGGGCACGCTTCCAGCAGGAGGTCAAGGCGTTCCATCGCCGCGTGCGGGCGGGCGAAGGCAGCGGCGTCTTCGCCGTCGCGGCTGGACTGACGGGCGCACGTCGCCTCGACGATGACCAGGAGGACGATCAGGAGAACAGGAGTGGGAATGGTAGCGATGGCAATGTCAGATTCGATGATCGCAACAACCCTGAGCTTGTCGAGGCACGCGATGGCATGGTGGGACTCCAGGATGCAGAAGCAGACCACCGACGCCGCGCCACGAGCAGCACAGGGCGTCGCAGGCAGAGCACATGTACTAGCACAGCTACACACGAGTTTCTCGCGCTCATTGCGCACGCGCCCACACACAACAGACTCGACTCTGCCTGTACCCGTCCGTGTTTGGCGCGGCCGCAGGCGAAGCGGACGGCGGGCCCGCGGCTGCAGCCACCTCGGCAGTGGCCACCGCAAAGCCTTGGAGCATCGCTCCCGCGCTCCCAGGAGGGCCCGAAGAGGCGGTGTGGAGACTGGGCTGCTTGGGTGTGGGGACTGGGCTGGCCCCCAGACGGCCCTCAAGAGGACACCCGAGAGACTCCCAAGAAGCCCCAGAGACGCTCAGGAACACCATGGCTCCCA